CAAGGGAACTATAGAAATCTATACTTATCCTATACTGTCTCCTGAACTTATCTCCAAATTCTTATCCCAAACCTTAATTACACTGAGAAGTCTTCACAGGGGCATCCCACTCAAAACGATGGGAGTTGATGAGATCACAAAATGAAATAGTATAGAGGGAGAAGAGAAGAGGAAACAGGAAGGAGCCCTGTTGGACACTCAAGGTGAGTGTGACCTGGATGATGATGCAGTAAAGGAGATTGAGAAGGAGCAGTCAGATAGGTATGAAAAGGCTCAGGTTAGATAGTGTCTCAGAAAACTAGGGAGATGAGGGTACCAAGGGGAAGAGAGGAATCAGTAGAGTCAAAGGCTTTAGAGAGGTCAAGGATGAAGGTTGAGAAAAGGCCATTAGATTTAGGAAATCACTGGTAACTTTGGAAAGAGCAGTTTAGGTTGAATGATGAGGTCAGAAGCCAGACTGTAGGGAGTTAAGAAGAGAGGAAGAGGGTAGGAAGTGGAAGCCCCTGTTATAGCCAGCCTCCTTAGGGAGCTCAGGCATAAAAGAAAGGAGAGATGTGGGGACCATAGCTAGAATGGGTGGATGGATCAAGGGAGAGGTTTTTGAGGATAGAGGAGACATGGACACATTTGTAGGCAGTAGGGAAGCAGTAGGAAAGTAGTCAGGGAGAGATTGAATATAAGAAAGAGAGTGGGAATGACAGAAGGGGCAATCTGCTGGAGAAGGCAGGATGAAATGGGGTCACTTGGGCAGGTAGAGGGGCTTATCTTGGCAAGGAGAAGGATGTGAACTCAGTTCTTATTATTTCCTAGTCTACCGTTCTATCCACTAGACCAAAGGTGGGGAACCTGTGCTTTGAGGTCCAATTCTCTCCGCCCCTCGTCCCCTGACCAGCATTGAGAAGGCAAGCAATTTGATATAGGTTATACATGGTAGTCATTCAAAACATTTCCATATTAGTATGTTGTGACTAACTATGGGGACAATGGAAGGTCACTTAACCTCTCTGAACCTCAGTTTCCTTATCTGGAAAATGGAGATAATGTTGTTGGTACTATCTACAAATCACAGTTATTGTGAGGCTCCAATGAAATAATGCATGTAAAGTGCTCTGAGAAAGTAAAAACTCAATCTAAATAGCAATTCTTCTTTCCCACTCCTCAACAGTGGCAGTCCATACCTCTCTCATGTGAAAGTCTAATCCAGGGGTGGGGAATCTGTGGCCATGTGGCCCTGTAGGTGCTCAAGTGCAGTCCTTTGAATCCAAACTTCCCACAAAAAATCCCCTTAATAGAAGGATTTGTTCTGTAAAACTTGGACTCAGTCAAAAGGCCACACCCAAAGACCTGAGGCCACATTTGACCTCACAGCACAGATTCCCCACTCTTGGTCTAGTGGATGATGAGAGTAAGGTTCACTCACTCCTCCTCACTTCTCCTCCACTATAAAAGCTCTTTCTTGCCTCTTTTGTGTGAGATAACTTACCCCATTCTATTTCTCCCTTTCCCTTTCTCCTAGTACATTCCTCTCACCCCTTAGTTTTTTTTAGATATCATCCCTTCATATTCAACTCACACCTGTGCCCTCTGTCTATATATAC